ATTATAGGACATTTTGAGAGATGCTCATAGTCCTCTGGAACTAGTCAACCTGGGAGGGCTAGGAGCAAAAAGTGTCTTTTATATCCCTCTGACCAAATTGTTATAGACCTCAAAGTATGTCTGTTAAACACCCAAGAAGGTTAGTTCCACCAGTCTAGTATTTTTAATTACTGTGTGTCATGTAGATAAATCTTGTGTGTGTTTTAAGAGGAAGGCATTCTCAATGTTGATACAAAACAATCATGTCAAATTCCTATTTTCCTTTTCAGCTAATATGGAAAAGAAAGAACGGGAGGGAGGAAGGAGCAGAAGACGACTCTAGATACAGTGTCTAGAGTTGTAACATGAACTGGTCAAGGAAGCACAATCAGAGGGCTAAAAAAAGACCAACAGCACCTACCCCAGCAGCAGCATCCCCAAACCTGCCACAGACTCCAGAGGGGCTCAGTAGGCCATCCTCCACAGGCATGGAAGGAAAATTGGGGCTTATCAGTTCTTATAACCCAGGGATATAGGTATAAAGAAATATACCTGATAAGCAATTTTGAAACTTCAAAAACTTAATCATATGTGCCCACACGTGTGCGCGTATGTGTATATGTACATGTACTATATGTAGGTGTGTGTGGAGACCAGAGTTTAACATCTAGTATCTTCCTCAATCATTCTCAACCTTATTTGTTTGAAACACGGTCTCTGACTAAACCTGGAGATGGCCAGTTGGGCTAGACTGGCCGGCTAGCAAGTCCCAGGGGTCTTCCCGTCTCAGCCTCTCCAGTGCTTGGATTAATGACACATGTTTTTTATGTAGGTTCTGGGGATCTGAATTTTTATTAATTTTTATTAATTAATTTATTAATTTATTGATTTTTTATTAATTCTGGGGATCTGAATTATCTAATTTTTATTAACGACACCTGGTTTTTTATGTAGGTTCGGGGGATCTGAACTGAGGTCCTCACGCTTGCACTGCAAGATCTTTATTGAATGAGTCATCTCCCCAGCCCCTAAAACTCTAATTTCTAAGTCTTCTCCTGATGAATACTGAAGATAATATTGTTGCTGATGAAAGCAATCCAGCCAAGACAGCTCCAGTCCTTTCTTGTGTCTGTGTTCTGAGGACAAGGTTCCCTTACTCAGTGGGCCCTACAGGGCAACAAGCCCCTCCCCCTCTGAGCAGCCCAGCACAGGCAAGCACTCTGGTGATTATGCCTGCTCTCACCTACTTTTGTTTCATTTTCTAATGCTAAATCTTAAAATTTCAAAGACAGAGAAGAAAGGAAACCACATCGCTTTGTGTTCTGGCATATAGGTGCAAGCAGTCAAGAACCAGAAACAGATTTTCCTGTCGACTGATGTGGGGAGAGCAGCCAAGATGAGGAACTCCTGCATGTTCCTGGCATCTTCTCTGGCCACTGTCATTTTTCTTCTACGAATTCCTGAAGGTAAGATGGATTCCTGTCATTTCCATCATAACCATTGGTGGAGCAGACGTTTGTGAACCTTTGATAATGTAACCTTATCATGCTGATAGAGTATTACCTGCCTCCAAAGCCTTAGAATGCTTAGTATTCATATTTGAATTACATTTTTAATTTTTTTTTATTTTTTATTCTTTTTGTCTTTTTGAGACAGGGTCTCCCTGTAGTCCCAGCTGACCTGAACTCACTATGTAGACCAGGCTGGACTTGAACTCACAGCAATCCACCTGCCTATTTTTAAGAAGAAAAAAATATTTCTTATTTTTAATTTCTTTCCAAAAGTTAGCAGAACCACCGATGGCTATTGCTACCAACCTGTAGCTTATAGCTTGAAATTTGTTTTAAAAGACAATGTGAAAATGAGCAAATAAATGATATACTCTTGAGTTAAACAAGTTATAATGTTCAGGAAAGAAATAGTGGTACCCGAGGCAGCTCAGCCTTTCTTCCTACAAAAACTAGACAGACAGACTTAAAGACAATTAAGCTGGTGTCTGACCTAGACATTGGGGTGTTTCTCACTATTTCTTTGGGCTAGAGTTTCCCTAGCAAGACTTGAAGACATTGGAGAAGTCCTCACACCAATTCTTTGCGAGAGCTGTAATAAGTATTTTCTATTAAGCTTCTATATAGTAAATAATAATGAACAACACGTGCATGGGTTGGAATGCTGTCATATTTCTTGCACTGTCACTGGAGAGTAATAGCTCCCGAGTAGCCCTAGATGTTCTCTGAAGAACCAACTAGGAAGTGGGGACTAGTTTGGGCTAAAGATAAATGGACTGGCTATATGAGGCAGCCGTGATATCCCCCAGGACCCATCTGCTTTTGAAGGTAAAAGTGGTCAGTAGGGGCTTATATAAGAACTTCAATGCCAGAAATTCTGAAAGAAGCTCTAGGGTTTTATTTTAAAACAATAAGGAAGAAAGACATTTAGGACCAAAGGTGGCCATATTACAACCATAGCATAGCACACAGGTACTCAGGCATGCCACATCTTCCCGAACAGTAAAACTGTACAGATTTTCTTTCTTCTTTCTTCTTTCTTCTTTCATTCTTTCTTTCTTTTTCCTTCTTTCTTTCTTTTTGCAAAATACAACTATATATTTTTCTTTAAAGGAAACAATAAAAGCAATTTGATGTGTTCTGCTTTGTTTCCCATGTTTAGAGGGAGCAATTTGGATGCAAAAAGGAAGAAAGAAAAGAAAGTAATACTTCATAATCTGGACTAGTGGTCGGAATCTTCCCACACGTTAGAATAATCTGGAAGACTTTTTAAAAACAAAGTCTGGATACCATAGTTCCTGCTTCAGAAATTGTTAAATGTAATGAGTGATTACAGCTTTTTAAAAGCTTTCCATCTACTCTAGCCCTTACCCCAGACCCTTTTAAGAGTGGTTGGTGGCAGAAATGACCCTACTGCTGAAGCTGACATATATGCACAAATACAGACCTCTATATAAGAGAATGTTCATGAATTCATGATTTCTGAAGCCCAGAAAGTTTAAAAATGCTCTCCTTAATCTAGCTCTGCAAGACTCATCTGGGGAAAACTTGGAATTGGCTAAGATTCTTTCAGTTTTCCATGCATTCCTTGCTTTTCTGTTTCTAGAGCTTAGAATTTTTCCTTCCCAGTTTCCTTTTGGAAAGCAGACCACGTTCTTCTCTTTCCCTTCCCCCCATGTTCATCAACCCTGGTGAGAAGTTCTGAGTCTGTCATTGGTATCTTTCTGTGACTGTGACAGCAAATTAACCTTAATTGTGGACTAAGAAGTGCTAAGTCTTACTAAAAAAACATAACTCTCAGCTACAGCAAGACATATTTTAGGGGAATCCAAGAATATTTGGGGTAGAAAGGGAAAAATTGAAAGTCTAACACAGATACAAGATACTTCAACTACCACAGGCACTTGCCTTGTGTGTATGTGCCTCTCTGCTCCTCTAACAATGGGTCCATCACCTTGGTCCAGCTCATGCAAGTTTTACTAAGGTGAATAACCTACTTACAGAATCTCCTCCCTTTCTCTCTACTCCTCCTGCCTCAATTGGAAAGGACTTACACTAGGCCATGTTGTTTGGTCTTAAGATTGAAGGAGAACCTTAGGTACAACGGGTATTAGTCTCTCAACCTGTGAATGAGGGTGGTACAGTTAACCAGAAGTCTCACAGCAACCAAAGCCCTCATAGAGAGTCACACCTAGAATGCGTCACCATCAGTTTGTATGCTGTGTGTCTGCAAGGCCTTTGGGTGAGAAGGGAAATAGGCAGACTTTTAAAATCCACCCCTACCCTGAGTCTCCAAGTTACTAACCAGAAGGGAATAGGGTCATCAACACCAGCATCTCCTGCAGCAACTGTTACTTGGTAAACCAGTGCACAGCTCTCTATCCTGATATTAGAGGTTTCTGACAGATTTCCAATCAAATAGTTCCTGGAACACCAGTGGCAGCATCTGTGGGTTTGATGGCAGGCACATCTCAGAAAATCCAACAGGACCAGGATTTAGGGTCAGAGACCTGAGGGTCTATATGGAGGAAAAGGAGGGGTTGAACTCCCTTCTTTATGCTTTCTCGCCAAAGGAAAAAAAATGTGACTTTTCTGAAGAGCTGTTTGGACTGAACATTGACCTAACTTGCCTTTTTCTATTGAACAGGTGACTGTGAGAGAATCATTGGAGGAGATACAGTAGCTCCTCATTCAAGACCCTATATGGTCCTACTTAAAGATGGAGATGACATCTGTTCTGGTGCTTTGATTGCAAATAACTGGGTCCTGACTGCAGCCCATTGTGTCACGTAAGTGCTTAGGGCTAAAAAAATGTTTGTAGAAATATTCTAATTTGGGGAAATAATAAAAAGAATAGATCTCACAAAACCATGGAAGAGTCACATGTACTTTCATATCAAGTCTTTAGCAACTTGCAGCAATATGAAAGGACGTTAAGCCCAGATTTGCCACGAAGAATCAGGCCACTGAAGAAACAGCATTTGTAAACTCTTTCTACGGGTTCCCACTAGAGCACCAGTGTAGGAGCTGCAAAGTAACCAATCAGAGCAGTGAAGGTTCAAACTTTCAGTGTCCCATGGGGACCTGGGCAGAGCATGAAGCAGATAAAGCCTATTTCCAGTGCCTTCCTATCATCCCCTAGTGAGTTGCTCTGCCCATCAGTCCCCTTTCAGTCCCTGACAATGGCTACCATGAACTCTTTCCAGGCTTGGTCTTTTCCCTACTCCCTAAACTGGTCCTCCAAACCTGGGCTGGTCAATGAGTTTAGGGATATCCATTGAAGTTGCCCAGGTTCTTGTGTCCCAAGACAGAGAATTGGACCAAGGATATATGATTTGAATAGATATAGAGCCAGTTTATTAAGAAGAGGAAATCACTCCTGAGACTAGAAATGGGCTACTGAGCTGGGGAAAGGCTCAAAAAAACACTGGGATGCTAGAGTGAAGACCCTTTAGACGTCATTACAAAGCATCCACCTCTTCCACTTTTCTTGAGCATGCTCCTTTTGTAGTCTGAAGCCTCTTTGGAGAAGGGTTTCCAGTCCTCTGCCAAATAGTTTCTTTTCTATGTTAATCTTGATGTCACTTTCTCAAGTCTCTACTCTCCTGCCACAGTACTACATGGGCAATGTAAATTTAATATATGAAACTAACTAAAATTACAAATTTAATTCCTTGGTCATACACTGACGTCCTTAGTAACCACATGTGGCTAGTGGCTATTGAGCCACACAGATTTGTAGAACATTTATTCCTCAAAGCATGCTCTGGAAAGTATAGTTCTAATGTCTTAAGTGAGACCAGTCTTCTCAGGTATAATGGAGAAGAAGCAGTGAGTCTTGTGTGGTATAATGTAAAAAGAGTCTAGTCTGTAATGGGTCTAGTCTACAATTGGTATAATCTATAATGGGTATAGTTTACAATAGATCTAGTCTACAAAGGGTCTAGTATATAGAGTTTATAATGGATCTAGTTTGCAGTGGGTCTAGTCTGTAATGGGTCTAGTCTAAAATAGGACTAATATATAATGAGTATAGGCTACAATGGGTCTAGTCCATAACGGGCCTTAAGCATAACCACATCAGGAAGTACGTGCATACTACATGTCATGCACACAGGTTCCTGTGCTGAGCAGTCTGTTTCTGCAAAGTTTCTCATCTATGAGTTTATTTTTCTCTTACAAAGAGCTCTTCCATGCATTGCTTTACAACTATCAGAGTTCCTGCTTCTGGACTCTCGAGACCTTTGATTTCCAGGAATTCATAGCCTGTGCTGGATAATGTTGGTTGTCAACTTGACACACCTGGGCACAGGGAGGCTCAACTGGGGGATTTTCTCCATTGAACTGGCCTGTGGCCATGTCTATGGGGCATTTTCTTGATTATTGAATGATGCAGGAGGGCCCAGCCCACTGTGGGTAGTACCACCCCTGGGCAGGTGGTCCTGTATTGTATAAGAAAGCAGGTTGAACATGGACTAAGGGAGTAAACAGTGTTCCTTCCTGGAATATGCTTCAGCTCCTGCCTCCAAGCTCCTGCCCTGAGTTCCTTCCTTGGGCTTCCTCAGTGATAAACTGTGGAGATCTAAGTCAAATAAATCCTTTCCTCCCAAGATGGTATTGGTCAGAGTGATTTGTCACAGCAATAGAGATGCTCACTAGAACACATCCCAGTTCTATACAACAGCCAAACAGGAAGAGCAGCAAGGGGGTTGGGGGCAAGGCAAAGATTTATGTTTGTTGCCATGGAATTCTCTCATTTGGTTTTCAGTGAACATTGGTTAGCTTGTCCTAAATAAGCTGGTGGGGGCTGACAAGCACCATGGCCTACATGTGGTTTGTCTTCTCAGAGGTTCATGTACTGGAAGCTTGACCCCCAGTGTAACCATACTGAGAGGTGATGGAACTTTTTTATAACGTGTATGAGTATTCTGCCTGCATGTATGTAAATCCATCATGTGTGTGCAATACCCACAGAGGCCAAAAGAGGATGTTATTGGATCCCTGGCACTGGAGTTACAGATGGTTGGTTACCTTCTGGGTGCTGGGAATGGAACCCAGGTCCTCTGCAAATGCAGCTAGTGCTCTGTATTAGTCACTTTTCTGTTGCTGTGATGGAAACACTGATCCAAACAATTTATAGAAGGAAGAGTTTATTTGAGCTTATGGTTCCAGGGGAATGACAGTCCATCATGGCAGGGATGCATGATGGCTGAAGGTGGTTGGAGCAGGAGCAACAGAAGCTAAGCTCTCACATCATCAGGCAGGCACAGGAAGCAAGAGAGCAACTGGAGATCTGGCAAAACTTAAGAATTCTTTAAGCCCACCCCCAATGATGTGCTTCCTCCAGGATAGCCACACCTTCTAAAACCTCCCCAAACAGTGCCATCATCTGGGGACAAAATGTCCAAATACTTGGAGCCTATGGGGGACATTTCCATTCAAGCCAGCACATGCTTCTAACTGCTGAGCCAGCTCTTTGGCTCCAATGTGGTGGGACTTTCAAGAGGTAGTAATGTCATGGGGGTTCTACCTGGTGAAAGGGTTAATGTAGCCTTCAGAGTGGGCCAGTTGCCATGAAAGTGACTGTTTTAAGCATGTTAAGCTTCCTATTCACTCTCTTCCTTCATCTGTCTTGCAACTCCTCCTTTTCACACACCCACTTCCCTGCCTCTTTTCTACCATGAGCTGATATGGTACAAGGCCTTTTTTAGAAGCCAAGCAGATGCTGACACTGAGCTGTGAGACTCCAGAACTGTGAGCCAAAGGAAGCCTCTGTTCTTTGTAATACACTCAGTCTCGGGCATTTTTTAAAGCTGCATAAAGCTAACACAGTAATGATAGTGGATTCATCAGCATCTTGCCTTTAAAACAGACATATTCTTTCAAGCCAGAGTTTCTCCAAATGAGGCACTTTTACCAATGACACAATAAAACTGATCAACACATAATATATTCAGCTCTTGATTAAAGAAAATAACTAGTAACCAGTGTTCTATTACAGAAACAAAAAGTCTCAGATTATTCTTGGGGCTCACTCACTACTGAAGAATGAGTCCGAAAAGCAGATACTATCCATTAAGAAGGTGTTTTCCTATCCGTGCTTTGATCCAGAAACACATGAGGGTGATCTTAAACTTTTACAGGTATGTACCTTTGATTGTCTTCTTGAATCATAGGACCATCTAAAATCTTGCTACCTACATGAAAGTATTTCCCTAGCCCCCCAAATAAGGGAGTCCCAGAGGATTGGGTAAGAACCTAATTTTTAAAAAACTAATATCTCACACTAACTGTATGATTGTCTCTCTACAGCTAAAAAAAAAAGCCACCATTAACAAAAATGTGGCTATCCTTCATCTACCAAAAAACGGGGATGATGTGAAACCAGGAACTGGATGTCAAGTTGCAGGTTGGGGGAATACTCAGAATAAACGAAGTCCCTCTGATGTACTGAGAGAAGTCAACATCACTGTCATAGACAGGAAAATCTGCAATGACGAAAAGCACTATAATTTTAATCCTGTAATTGGACTAAATATGATTTGTGCAGGAAGCCTCCGTGGTGAAAAAGACTCATGTGATGTAAGTAAAATAAGATCGTATGGGTTAGCTGTTTGGAACGTGCAGGTAGGGACGATGAGATATTATGGTTGGTCTTGTCAGAGCATTGACTTCTGTAGGTTCCTAGTGCCTTTGAAATTTTTATAAGGCCCAGATGAATAAATTAACATGCTCAGATTGAAAGTCACTAAAAAGAAGAATTCCATGGCTAGTACCAGTGTGGACCCACTGTATTGTCTTGGTTTCATTTAAAAAAAAAAAAAAAAAAAAAAACACTAATAAATGGAGTGGGTTTTTCTCAGTTTTCATATTGCCATATACAGATCTAAACTTAAGATACATAAAATTCTAAGGCATTTCCTTGAGAGCCTTCAGTCTCCTTTCCCACCTCAGCTCCTCAAAAGCTCCTCTGTCCTTTAACCTGGACATTTTTGAAATGCCAGCCATTCCCAAGCCTGGGCAAGGACCTGAAACTAGACCCCATAGCTTCCTCCTACTGAGCTCAGGCCCAGCCCTTCACCAGAGAATATATAACCCTCCATCCCAATGTCCCCCAAAACAAGAGGGACAAGGGCCTGATTAAAGATAAGAGTAAAAATATACTATGCAAATTTTTAGACTCAGTTCCAGTTGTCATTTCGTGCCTTTTCCAAAGACTCCACAGAGTCTTGCCTGAGTTGACGGCCACGTGCCTGGCTCCACAGGTATCCAAGAATGAGAGTTGGGGGAGCTGTGGCTTGTCTTCAGGATCAAGGTTAGCTAAGTGCCAGGACAAGATGGCTTGTCCTAAGCACCCTTTCTCTACTCCCCCTCCCCACTCAGCACCCTCCCTCTACTTTCCCCTCCCCTGCTCATTCCTTCCCACATCCTCCACATAGGGCACCCAGGAACCCAGACCTTCCTGCACTGGGAACCACGGCCCCTGTACTGCAGTGCTTCCCTGATCTCTCAGTGCCCTGGACTTGGTACATCCAGCCTACAAAACTGATTCTGCACATGCCAGGTCTATAAGAGGCAGGGGAATGTATCTCAGGAAGATGCCTGGTTCTTTATTTCAGACATAAAACCAACATTTCCCTGAATGGGGTGACTTTGGTTTTTGTCTTTGGGAAGATAAGGAACCAGAAAACATAGTGCTTACTCTTTGCCTAACTGTATCGTCTATGTTTGCCTGTTCCATCCCTTGGGTTATTAAACATTTTGAGGAAAATGACAACAGGAGGGTTGGCTTTCTGGAAAAAGGGACTGGATCTCAAAATTACAGGGTAAAATATATGATACAAGTTTCACTTGAGTTTCCACTACCTATAAATATTAAAATATTTCTAAGCATTTTGATGTTTTAAGCACTGATCTTCAGTGAAGTAAAGACTGATCTTTATATGAAGGGCTACAGAGCTTTTATCCATTTTGCTGTGGTCACAATCCACACTGATCCCACCTCATTCCACCCCTCTTGTTCCCCCAGGGAGATTCTGGAAGCCCTCTGCTGTGTGACGGTGTCTTCCGAGGCATCACAGCCTTTGGCCTTTCAGGGAAGTGTGCAGACCCCCGAGGGCCTGGCATCTACACACTTCTCTCAAAGAAGCATCTCAGATGGATAATTCTGACTATGAGGGGCACTAATTAAATAACTGTATTTCATTTCATTTGCTGTCTCTTCTTCATCTAATCACAAATAAAATCATCTTGTTTCTGCACTTGCTTCTTTCTTGTTAACTTGGGCAGATCTCCATCAGCAAAGCCAAAGAGTCACGAGGCACTTCATGGATAATATAGGGAGAGATTAGGAAACCGGGGCCACCAGTGTCATCTAGGTGTCAAGGATGGGAATTTCTCCTTGGATGTGTGTTCTACCCTCTCAGTGGCCTCCAGGATGAGTGATAGGATAGGCAGGGTTCAGCCATTCTGATAGAGTCGAGAGCACTGGGGTGAAAAGGAAGAGTCAGCCCCGTGAGAGACCGTTACACCTCCACACGTGTTATTCTCATTTATATTCAAGAACTGTGAGGATAGAAACCAGAAATGACTTATGGTATTTTCCCCAGGCAAATGTGGAATCCTTCATATATATTAATATTTTTCTTAAAGGGGCCCCTTTGTTTATATGTCACTGTTTAATAGAAAAATGGCATTTGATAATGACTCAGGATCATGAGATTATTAAGACAGAAGAGCCTGGACTAAAACGATGGAGGACCGTGGAGACTGCCTGATCTTTTTGCACATTTTTCAGCTGCACGTTTTCATATATTTTCTACTTAGCTAATTAAGAAGTTCACATTAAATGTACTCATTTAAACAAGGCTCTGATTCAATCTCTAGCACTGTTTTATAACATTTGTCATCTATATACATATATGTATATATTCCAGCTTTTGATAGCCTAACATGTTTAAGGAAAGAATGACTAGGCTCAGATAGATGTTTCTGATTTAAGGGGGGGGGGTCTTTATTGGCAAACTAACGGTAATGTGGTGGGAGAATCATATATATATCCCTGCTCTTCAATAATCAAGGTTGGTGTTTTGTGGATTTGGAAGGAACAAGGGAGAATGCTTTACGAGTCAGATGTGGTGGCTCATGCCTACAACCCCCAGCACTCAGGAGGTGGAGGCAGGAGGATTACAAATTTGAAGCCAGTCTGGATGACACTAAGTGCAAGTCTAGCCGGAGTTATCTCTACAGTGCGATCTTATCTCAAGTAGAAAAAGTAAAATCACCAAAAAATGTATGACAAATCAATCAATTTGTCACCTGGGGTGCACATAATATTCTGAAAAGACCAAAAAGTGTAGCGTGTGGCCCCTAATCACCTCAATTTGAGGGTTCATGGAAAGAAATGTGTGGAAACTAAAGACTCACAAAGCAATAAAATATTTAAATAACTATTCAAATAATGTATTAATACCAAATAAGTGATACAGACTATGGTAAGAATTCAAACCCAGAAAACACTGTGTGCCAAAAAATAGGAAGGAAAGACCATGACATCCAGAGTAGAAGAAAAGTTTCCAACAAAGGTGCCAGATAGAAGATGCACAGTGGTAGCCTGAGGTTAATGCAGGTACTGATGGGAATTAACATTGAAGGCAGAGCAGTGGACCCATTAGACTGAACAGGCCTTGGCATCTATGGAGTCCAAAGTGCCATTCTTGCAGCTGTGACAGCACATCCAACGTCACACAGTTTGTATATGGCAGAGCCAAGGCAAGAAAAGGACCCCTGACAAACATCATGTCCTGGTTCAGGACTCCAGAGGCTAAAGTTAGGGGGTTAGACAATAACAATGTTACTGAGAATGTATGAGCAGGGGACCAGAAGGGTTGTCAGTGTGTTTAGGAGTTTCATCTAGCAACAATGTGGAGCTCTAAGAAGACTAAACACAGGAGAACCAGGTAGAAGGTGGTTACAATAGACCAGGTATGAAACACATGACTAGAGGGAAAAAAGAGAAGAGACCAAGGGGAGAACCAAGGCTAGATAGGGCTATGGATGAGATCATTAAGAGCGTGCTATGGTTGAAATGTGTCCCCAACATTTTTATGATAGAAACTTAATCCTCAGTGTAACAATGTTGTGAGATGGGGCCTAACATATGTGATTAGGTCATGAGGGCTCTGCCTTAGTGAATGGATTAATGTGGTTATCATGGGAGTGGGTCAGATATTAGAAGTGTAGGTTTGCTATAAAAATGACTTCCTCTTGTCCCCCTGGTCTCTTACATGTCTCCTACTTGTGTGTCTCCTATTCTCTGTCCTCTGCCTTCTGCCCTAAGATGAGATGGTGCAAAGACCCTTTCCAGATGCCAGCACCATCTCTTGGACTTCTCAACCTCCAGAACCATGAGCTAAATAAACTTTTATTGTTTACAAGTTACCTACTCTTGGATATTCTGTTATAGCAGCAGAAAACAGACTAAAACTGAAGGAAAGTAAACCCAACAGATGCCTAATTTTAAGAGGAAATAATATACATGCTTATTAGAGCAAATAGCATATGGTTGGAGAATTTTAGAAAGTGTTTTTCAGGTGAATGAGTTGCCTTCAACATATTGAGTTTGATCTAAAAATAAGAAAGACATTCAAAAAGGCAATATGCAAAAGTAGTCAAAAATACAATTGTGGAACTTAGGAGAAAAGGCTGGTAGGAAGAAGTGTTTGAACTCATTCTTGAACTGGAGTGATGGCTCAGCAGTTAAGAGCACTGGCTGCTCTTGCAGAAGACTGGGGTTCGGTTCCCAGCACCCACATTGTGGCTAACAACAGTCCATAACTCCAGTTCCAAGGGATCCAAGGCCCTCTTCTGGCCTCTGTGGGCATTGCACACATAAGTGTACTTACACACATGTGGGCAATACACTCATAGACATAAAATGAAAATAATTTTTAAAAAATTTTTTAAAAGAAGAAAACATGATCCTTACTGAAACAGTGAAAACAAATACTTAAAAAAGGCAAAGACAGAGAAATGAACACAGAAGAGGAAGACGAGGAGAGGAGGAAAAAGAGAGGAGGGAGGAAAAGGGAAGCGGAAAGAAGAGAGAATCACAGACCTGGGAAGTGCAAAGAAAGTAGCAGGGAATCAAGCAGCCACCCAACCAGGAAGAGCTGACATCACCACTCCAATTCCTAATGACCTCATGGAGAAGGAAGGCCCGTGTCACTATCCTCAGCTACAAGGGGCTGGGTGACTAGTGGCACTTCCACACACAGGCCCACCCGTCCGCAGAAGCAGAAAACACTTGGGTCTGGTCTGGACTCAGGGCCAGATGCAGCACTCTGCCTCTGTGGCCTGTGGAAAAAGGAAGACAAGACTCAGAACACATTGTGATGATGGTTGATGGGGACTGAGGTGACCTAAGCTGAGGTGACCTAAGCTGGAGCCAATATCCTTCTCAGGCTAAAGGGCTCCCTATACCCACCAAATTCACAGGTCAGGCCATTTCAGCCTCTCACCCAGCACTTGCTTAGTTTACTGTTTCCTCTAGGGCTCACTCTCACCCCCACCCCACCCCACCCCACCCCACCAGCATCCTGTGTCTGACCTAACAACTACAAGCTGGGCAGTTGAACGGACCAGAAACTGATACTTCCACCCTCTGGGGTAGAAGTGTAAACTCTAGGTGATGCACACCCTGGGAGGCTCCAGAAATTCTGCATCATGCCACTTCATACCTGCCGGCCCCTGTGAGCACACTAGTTCCTCTTCACTGTGTTTATTCTCCTTTGTCTCTCTTAAAAGTCACAAGTCACTTGGCATTGGATTTAGGCATGCTTCCATAATGCAGGACCATCTCATCTCAACCTGAACTTTATCACATATCAAAGAGCCCTTACTCAAAGAAGGTGACATCCACAGGCTACAGAGCTTGTACATGCTATCTTAGCTTAATGCAAAAAGGCCCAGAACCTCTCCGCAATGCAAACACAAGGCTCACTTACAAAATTCTAGGGATATCAGAATTTATCCCTTCTGTTCTTTAAATCATTATTCCCAAAGAACATTCTAAGGCATAATTGTCTTACAGAAGATTAACAAATACAAAGGTTAACAAAAATGAAAACAGCATTTAATGTTCACACAAATTTAGGAACTCTGGGTTAAAATTAAACACAAGTCCTTATTTTGGAACTTATTTTATTTTAGGGCTGTTGAGTGCATTGAGGTGTTTTGAAGATGAATCTGTAGCATTTCTCAAACTTAACTAACTACATAGTCCTTTTGACTTCAGCATGACAAAGGATTCACTAATGTCTCCTGGAAAATGCTTTGCAAAAACTTAACCTAACCCAACAGGGGCCTTAATGACCAAAATATTAGGCCCAAATAGACAAAAATGACTTCATGAGAGGAGGCTAGGGCTGGGAGTACATGAAAGAGAATGAGGCCAGGTAAGGTTTTGAATGGGAAGGTATCTGGGGGTACAACTGAAATCAAACTAGGAGAGGAGTCAGTCACTTCTTCATACAACCAGAACAAGCTGATTAAGAGCAGGAAGCTGAGGCATCATCTTGTCCTATGATACATCTTGTCCTATGTGTACTGCTCAAATCCTGGAGGAGACATAGCCTAGACTCCTGGGGACTTGTTCCATCCACACATCACTCCCAATGCTCCCCTTTGTGCACACACACAGCCCACGCATTGGTAAGAGATGCTCCAAATGGGGCCATGGGACCAGCTCTGTGTATGGTAATACATAAAGAAGATAGGTTCACAGATCTAATGCAGTCCCTTATTTTATAGGTGAAGAAAAATAATTTAGGGATATTAAACATCTCACACAAAATCACAGCTAATTAACAGCAGATCCAGAACTAAGACCACTTCAATATTCTAACATTAGACCAAACACCAAAGAAAAATTCCTTTCTTATCGAAGTCCATCATCTTTTTTTTTAATTTAAAACTTAAACAAAAAGCAATTTGTTATCGTTGTTTTTAAATGGTATAGAACAAGATCTGGAGAGACAGCTCAGCAGTTAAGAGCACACACTGCTCTTATAAAGGACAGAAGTTCAGTTTCCAGCACCCACATCAGGTGGCTCACAACTGCCTGTAACTCCAGCTCAAGGGGATCCAACAACCTCTCCAGGACTCCAAGGGTATCTGCACACACATATACACATAACTAAAAATAAAATAAATATTTTTTAAAAATTAAAAGGGGGCTGGCAGGATGGCTCAGCAGTTAAGAACACCGGCTGTTCTTGCAGAGAACCCAGATTCAGTTCCCAGCAGCCACATGGCAGCTAACAACCATCCCTAACTCTAGTTCCAGGGGCTCTGATACCCTCCTCTGATCTCCACAGGCACTGCACAACATGGGTGCACTTACATATATGCAAGCAATAGACTCATACACACAAAAAAATAAAATATTTTTATGCTTTGAAGAATTATTTTTTTAATCATTATATTTTTTAATTTTTAGTAACTACATGATTAGAAGCTTTTCACTACAGCTTTAACATATTCAGTAACACACTCCAGAGCAACAGTACATCTCCTTCACAAGTGGGTGAAGTTTCTAGGTTCACAGTTGAGGTAATAGTTATACAATATTGAACTCAGTATAAGCCCTGTAAGACATAAAATTGAATGAGTTTTTACTGTATATATCTGATTATTACTAGTCATAATCATTTGCACTTGGATCCTTGGCACCTGTGTATGTCTATAAAGTCATCGGGCAGATTTCAGTGGTATTGTTTATCACCTCTACTAATTAGCATGATGTAAATTTCCACAGTAAAGGATATAGGGGCTGGAGAGATAGCACAGCAGTCAAGAACACTGACTGTTCTTGCAGAAGACCCAGGTTCGAATCCCTGCACCCATATGGCAGCTAACAACTGTCTGTAACTCCAGTTCCATGGGATCTCTTCTGACAGTCTCTTCTGTCCTCTGTAGGCATTGCACTACACAGGTGCACTTACCTACATGCAGGTAATACACGCATACACATAAAATAAAAATAATAAATAAAATATTTTTAAAATAAAAATAAAAGTAAACAATATAGAACCTTGCACTAATGTTTGTTATTTTGCGTGTTTCTTCTCATTTTTAATAATGTGCTTTTGTTGGGATATTTATGTTCATTTTAACCACCATCAAACAAATACAAGAAAGTTATCCTTTTGCAGAAGTAGGAAGTAAATCAGCTTTTAGAAATAGGAAATTTGGTTGGAGATGTAACTCAGTAATAGAGCACTTGCCTAGCATGTGCAAAGCCTTGGTTTGATTCCAAGCATACAAGGAAGGGAAAAGAAGGGGAGGGAAGGAAAGAATGGAGGGAAGGAAAAGAAACAAGAAATCTATGCACATAATAAAATAATAAATTTAATTTTTGCAACTAATTTTAGGAGCTCACTTTGAAATAAAGCCACAAAGAAAAAAATCTAAAACACTCCCTCTCTTGGAGCTGGATAGATGGCACATCACTTAAGAGCTTGTACTGTTCTGACACCACCCAGTACCCCTGTAGGATAACTCCAGTTCCAGGAGAATCTAATGTTTCTGGCCTCCAGGGGCACCTGCATAAAAGCACACACAGACACACGCAGAAAAACATAAAAATAAAATTCATTTTTTAAAGTGAATAGTTTTTTTAATTAATTAAATTTTATTTTATGTGTATGAATGTTTTCCCTTCATGTGTGTAAGTGTACCAGTGCTGTGCAATGCACTCAAAGGACAGAAAAGGGCATCTGATTCCCTGGATCTGGAGATTACTGATGTTTCTTAGTCACCATGTGGGTGCTAGGATTCGAACCCAGGTTTTCTGCAAGAACAGCCAGTGCTCTTAACTACTGAGCCAACTCTCTAGTCCCATAAAGTGAGTATTCTTTATATATGTATACATATTTTTATTGAACTTTTAAAATTTCATACAACAGTTCCCAACCAAATCCAGACCCCCTGCCCCATTCATTCCTCCCCCATCCTCATCCTATAAAGTGAATATTCTTTTCAAAAATAAAATAAAATACTCCCTTTCTCTTACTTCTTCAAGTATTTTTGCAAATTTCCTTTCTTAATACCTGGGCACAAAGTTCTCTTGTGGAAAAAATATAAATATTTGTAGTGTTAGGTTCATATAAAAACTTTTCACTTAGAGAAATGCTCTTGCTAAACAGATATTTCCATTGATTTCTACCAGAAAGCCCCCAGGGGAGCTGTGATTTCTTTTTGGTTTGTTTGTTTTTTTGTTTGTTTGTTGAGACAGGCTCTCACTAATACACCCTTGACTGTCCTAAAACTTTCTATGTGGACCAGGCTGGCCTCGAATTTACAGAGATCTGTCTGCCTCTGCCTCCCCAGAGCTGAGATTAAAGGCACATACACCTGCCAAACATTTGATTTTTTAAATATACTTTCCTGAACCTTATCTTAAAATAATGCTTTAAAATCAACCCTAAGTACAATGCTTTTATTATATTTAATAAATGTAACAAACAGTTAAAATGCCTTCATTATCTATTATGATGTGTTAAAAATGAAAACGAAAGAATAAAAAGAAGGAAAAAATAGTAAAGGGCAAAAATAATCCCATACATTTCCTAAAACATTAGCTTTGGAAACTAGCTTCACTAAAATTTCATAGATACTTCTAGAACTTGCTAGAGCGACTGGACCAAAAGCAAAAGCATTCTTGAAGTCCTTTTCGAACACGTCAGTGACAGTCTTATCTTACTAGATAGTGGGAAATAGCACCTTCACCTCAGATAAAGATACTCTCTCAGGGTTCATGGCTTTAAGTTCCAAGAATAATGTCACTGTAAGCTCTGAACATTTTATTTCCTACATGGCGTGTCATCAAAGAGACCACACGCTAGAAAGTTTTTCTCTCTCTCTCTCTCTCTCTCTCTCTCTCTCCCCCCCCATATATATTTATTAATTCTTTGAGAATTTCATACAATGTATTTATCATATTCACCCTCACTCCGCCTCCTTACTCCTCCAAGATCTACCTCTCACTTCGCCACCCCCTCCCAACTTTGTGCCCCCTCCTCCTTTTTTTAACGCGTGAAGTCCAATTCGTGCTGCCCATATATACTCATGGGTATGGGGCCATCCACTGGAGCTTAGTCAACTTACCAGGACCACACCCTTAAAGAAAAACAAAAACGAACTGACTCTTCATCCCCAAGAAGCATCAACTGTCGGTATTCCGACAGTTAATGGCAGGTGCTCATAAGCCCCTCCTCCCTCCATGCTGGAATGTTGACTGGTTTGATCTTGTGCACGCAAATCCAGCTTCTGGGAGTTCCTGGGTGCAATGGTCC